TGTGAGCTGAAAAACTAAGAGCTATAAGTGAATTATTTAACTATTAAAGACTTGCCAGAAAGATGTTAGAACTGACCATACCAGTTTTTCTCAGTTACAATCACCTATGAAAATCGACTCAACAATTACAGCAGCTCTTACAGTAACAACTCAGTATTAACYTTCTGYAATTTGGTATTCATRTTGGTGGGTTTAAGTACATATCAGAAGAGTAATAAAAACAACCCACGAAAGAATGAACTGTAGATGAACCACATCTAAAAATGCTCATAGATCATTCAGGAACAAGAGTCAAGCAGCTCTTTATAAAAAGTAAATATTCTGTAAACACAGCTTATTTTGTAAACATCCTAATAATTACCACTGCTCAACTTCAATATTCRACTATTTCTGACAACAGACACATTTCTACAGTAATCTTACTAACAAAAAATCTTCCTCCTGTTTTTCTTCAGCAATTGATATAAATCAATGGAGTAGATAAAGAGTTAATCATAAACTCTTTTTATTTCTGGAATGGGACAATGACTAATAGAACCAGAACTATTTTTAAATATAGATTTCAAAACAGTTATGGTCTTGCCTTTCTTTGGACAAAATCTGTGCACAGAGCAATGATTTGTGTTATTAATGAACACAGGGACTTTTCTTTGCCTCTGCAAAGTCCACCACTGGGTCATTTAAACATTTCCTTTTCAGAAACAATGCCATAGGAAATTCGTCTGTGTACACCGGTAACAGCAGCGATTTCTAAACATAATTTAGAGTCTTCTTAGGTCTTAAAACTTTGTGTATTAACTCTTTCAGTATCATAACTGATAAGGCAACATGGGGCTGCAGATCTGGTGTGCAACTGCCAAGGAAYCCAGAGTTATTTGTTGTCAGGTCTCTTTATGCACTCATCTCACTCTAACAACACAACTTCTGTCCTCACTGAAAGGGTTTTTCTTCCTTCCCATAACTCATGTTTAGAATTTCCACATCACAGAAGTATGGCAATCTTCCACATAATATCTAAAAGGTTTTAATCAAATTATACTGTGACATCACCTGTCTTCAATTATCTAAACATCATAACTAAAAGCATAAAAAATGTCTCTGTTCCACATGATGTTTGGCATTTTGAGTTTGGGTATAAATAACCACATTAGTGAGGATAACTGTGTCCCAAATAAACAGTGCAGTGACTTTTAGGACTGTTGCACACCTCAGGAAAGCACCTTAGGGCACCTCTCCATGTGAAATGCACTCTCCACTTTCACTCAGCTCACCTTGAGGTGGATCATGTTCCAGGGAGAAGGTGCTACTCAAAAGCTTTTTGTGCTGTCGGATAAGAAGGATTGACATAAAGAGGGTGCAATGGAGTTTGAATTCACCACACTCTTTTGTCAAACCCATTTTCAATGTTCTGGTCTGTTAAAACAAGAATGGACAAAGCCAGGCTTTGTCCAAGTGACAACCAGCTGCTCAGGGGATTATTTAACAGCACACTTGAGCCTGTCTAACAGCTTGAGTATGTCAGGAATGGCTCTCCCACYGCTCCTCCTTCCTTCTCTTTCCATTTCATGTTCCAGCCCTGTCAACCAGCCTGTTCCACCCATTCTCTTGTGCTGGTTCTGGTACTCCAAACTGACTCAGTTTCTTCACTTGAAAAGAATATGTTGGGTTTTTTTGTGCTGGTGTGGTGATTTCAACCAGCTCAGTGAACAGCCTGAGAGGAAGAGCTGGTACAGGAGAACTGGCAGGGAGCACACTCATGCCCAAGGCAGAAGGACCATTAGCACAGTGGTAGCTGTACCTTSTGGAACAGTATTTCATAAAATTCTCGGGACAGTATTTTCAGAAAGAGCACCAGGATCTTGTATTTTAGGCTTTCTTTTAATTCTCTTACTCTTGCAGAAAGTTTGTGTAAGTTCTTTGTGAAGAGCTGCAGAGTCAGAGCATTTCTACACTCAGCATCTATTTACTGGGAAAATCAAAACCTCAGGCAGGAAAAAAMCAATCCCACACCTGCATAAAACTCAGTTCTTTAGGATCCATTCTTGGCCATTTCTTTGGCCAATACAAACCTGAGGTCAAGTTTGATTATCATTCCTAACTACAAAGCCAATAAGGACTTCTTAATGGCAAAATGGGAAGATGAAGGACTTTTTGCTTTAAAATTAAAAAAAAAAAAAATCACAACTCAGGTTTCCTTACATAAAGGGACTTGTTTTCGAGAATTTTAACTCACAGAACCAATATATGTCATAAATGACATATTTCAACACTACTTTTCTAGAACTTTGTGAGCAACACATGTTTTTCAAGAGTTCAAATTGGCCGCTACTCCAATCACAGCCTCAAATTTTAATACTTTGAAATCCCAGTTTTTGGCTATATGAAAGGAAATATGCAATCCATTTGCTGCAGATGCAAATGTGGCAACAGATTTTTAAGTTGTTTCATAAGACAAGTCCCTGGCACCAGATCCAAAAGAACATTTGAGGAATATACACGCAAATGTATCTTTTAGATCCAGGAAGACTGCACATCCAGTGCCTGTCAYAAACAAAAATCAGCAGGGACTTGGAAAGTCCACATCCCAAGACATGATCACACTTGATATCCTACATATGGAAATGGTGCTCCATCTCTGGATAAACCAGAGAGCATTTTGTCACTTCAAACCTGAAGAGACTGGGAAGAACAGCCTGAGAGCCCCCATGTGCCAGCCCAGCCATTAAACCACTTGTCCAAGAACAAGGAGAACTTGGAAGTCTGAAAGCCTTCAAAATTCTCATCTCCTAATTAATGGTATGACTAAAGTATTAAAGTATTTGACTGGTTTTTGAAGCTGAAGTAGAAAACTGAAAAGGCTAAATATTCAAAAGGTGCACAACCAGAAATAATAATTCTCTCCAAACAATCAAACAAACAAAGGTTCCACRTCTTCTTGCCAGCGCTGTTTATATTCAGAGAGTCTTTCAAGGACACACATTGTATGGGATTGCAAGAAAACCACAACATTCTTTCTAGGAGCGTTCATAGAGAACATTACTTTGAACATGTAGGAAAATATATGGGAAAAATACATGTGAAGATTCTTTCAAGAGCTTGTTAAATCAGTAAAAGTATGTGCCCTACTCAAATGAACATGCAATTGGAATATTATGAGAAATACTAAATTACCTACAAAGTACCTTGTGATTTTGATTTGGGGAAAGAAGCAACTGCATTATTTTTATGTAGCCTAATCATGGTTGGCTTTCTTCTTTTCAAACTCCCTGAAATGGACAGCTAAAGGAGCAGCAATGCATGCAGAATACTGCATTTAAACCCATTATGAACCCTCTGCAATAATCATCAAAATGACTTTGYACAGAAAAAAGTGGCTTTTGCATAAACAAAACCTTAGAATTTCGAATAAGCCAAGTCAATGCCCTGTACAAACCAGTGCATTCCTTTTTTTTTTTTTTTTTTGCAATGGAGGACCAATGATAAAATGCCTACATAAAAGCATTTTTCATCTTCAAACAGATCAGAAAGCATTAATTAGGTGATCAAACAAGAATTGACATCCGTTTAGCATCTCCCTAAAGAGACCTATGATAGTCCAAATAGAAACATTTTTATAAACAGGACATGCACAATAAAATTTACTGCCACCCCTCATGATTTGTGGAGCACATTTTCAGTTCCAAATGACTTCCGGAGTTGGGCTTTGGAGGGAAACAATGTCGAGCTGAGGGCTGAATCCACAACATTTTCTCAGCATTTGCCACATTCTGTGGGGCAATTCTTACTATCTCCATTCTCCTCTGCATCTAGTTTTCTAAGAGCAAGAAAGAAAAAAGCCACTAAACAAAAAAAGCTATGGTTATTGAAAAAATTCACACACAAACCTACTGGATTTCAGCTTTTTTTTTTTTTCTGGATGCAACTGAAGTTACTTTCATTGACAAGGATTCCTAACCTGCAAGTCCTTCTCAGAGAAAGGGCACCTCCTCAACCCAAAGTCAAGAGAGAACTGGGCTTGTTCAGCCTGGAAAAGAGAAGCTTTGGGGTGATGGAACTGTGGGCTTCCAGTACCTGAGGGAGCCAACAAAACAAAGAGAGGGGGACTTTTTACAAGAGCATGGAGTGATGGGACAAGGGGGAATGGATTCGGATTGGATTTAAGGAATAGAGTCTCTCCTGCTGAGCCCTGGCACAGGTTTGTCCAGAGAAGCTGTGGCTGCCCCATCCCTGCAGGTGTCCAAGGCCAGGTTGGAGGGGGTTTGGAGCCTCTGGGACAGTGGGAGGTGTCCCTACCCAAGGCAGGGGCTGAAATGAGATGGCCTTTAAGGTCCCTTCCAACCCAATCCGTCCTGGAGTCTACAGTTCTGTGAAATGTGTTTGCATGCAGAGTGAACTTCTAGCAATGACAATAATAAACAAACGACTGGAATATGGGAAAAGCTGTTGGCAGGACTGAAAACTTCAGATTAGACTAGGAAGAGTTTAACTGAAGTGTTTAAGGGAGTAGAACATCAAGTTTTTAGGAAGTATCTTGCTGAATGCATTTTATGCCCTGCTAATCAAGTGCTTCCCAATTTCATAAGCAATGCACATATGCCAATGTAGCCCACTAAAAAATGTTCATCGAGAATGAATAAAACAAATCATATTCCAAGTTCTGGCAAAGTTTATCTGCAAAAATTACACTTCAAATGATAATATTATTTGTAAAAGTCAACAAAATACTTTGATATCACATTAATATCTAATAAATTTAAGTTAATATTATTTAATGYAATTGTATAGTATTAATTTATATTTAATATTTTTATATTCTTCATCCTTCATAAAACTACTTAAACCTCATTTTTCACAACAGACTATTTTTCAGGACCAGAGAGTTTATGAGTGAGTAAAATAAATAGGTCAATAGCTTTATTTGCTCTTTCTTATTCATTAATTCTGGCCTTTTTTTTTGTTTGTTTGTTCATTTTCCAAGATTGGTTATCCTGATTAAGAAGATATGAAAGAATACACTCTCCTTCTCTTCTTGGCTTTATGCTCTGCCAAATCTCTCACTGGTCCTTCATATTTTACCCTGAAGAATATGATGCTCCAAGATATGGAAGATGACGACGATGATGACGATGATGACAATTCTCTATTTCCAACCACTGAACCAATTCTACCACTAATTCCTTATGATCTGTTCCCAACRTGCCCTTTTGGATGCCAGTGCTATATGAGAGTTGTCCATTGCTCTGATCTAGGTAAGAATGAATGTGTGTCTGTTCTCCACTGGATTCTCCTTTGCAGGATTTATCTTTTAAAGCATGAATTATTACACGAGCACATAAATGGATGCAAGCTATTCCCTCAGCTTAACTTCCACCAAAGTGGGCATCCTTGGTAATAATTTAGCCAAARGCAAATGTACTCCTGTCAGTGCTGCAGGTACATCTCAGTTCCTGAAAATGAATTAATTATTAATTGTGCCAATTTGAATCAGTGCTCGTTGAGGTTTCCCTATGATTCAAGGCCATCAAAGGACTTCGATCCCACCACTAGCACAGTGACAATGAAATTTGCTCTCATCACAGCCTTGCCACGTTTCTAAACTTTGTTCTGGACTCCTTGTGTCTCAGACACTGCTGAGGTTATATTGCTGGGTTTTTTACATGTGTCATTATTAAAGACTTGAAATAAAGTTTCGCTGACAGCAGCAAACCGTGGTTAATGCATCTGGCCTACAGATGGCAAACTGCTTTACACGACTTCATACATGGGAAAAATCCCACATTAATAGACTTCATATTTAGATAGCTGCAATCTATTAATTATGGAAAGATCGTTAATAAATTGAACAGCATTTAGTATTTCATGCATCAGCATGTCCACTCCAAAGAAAGTTACTGCCCCCGTTGAGTCTTTTCTGCTGATTCAGGATCTCAGAAGGGTTTGTAATGGAATAGCAAACTGGGCTGGGGATTTACACTACGGATACTGATTTCTGTTAATGATTTATGGTAGTGGTAATGAAATACCTGCTTTGCCCACATTCACCAAGAACAGAATTCTCAGCCCTGCCATGAACGGAACAGCCCCAGTGCCATGGACAGGCACAGCAGAGGTACAGTGGAGCACTGMGCAGAGAGCCCTTAAACCACAGCCCTGGTCCTCAACAGGGAACAGCTGCCCTGAATTCCCCAACAGATCCTTTCTCCAGGGACTCAACAGGACACAGCCTTACCCTGTAGGACAACCCGTGCTCTGAGGTTTATTTCACAGACACAATGAGTGGGCCCCATTTAGGCTTTTGTGGCTGGGGCAGAAGCAGTTCCCCCCAAAACTCTCCACACATTTGTAGCACATTCTTACATCACTTCTACCCTTTGCTTTATGGCTGCTCRTATTTTCTTCCCCTCCATATTCATCAATCTTCCTGTGTTTAGCTGTTCAGCAGTTAATTTCTTTGGACTTATATACAGCCCATAATGTTTCTGTTTATGTCACATACTTATGTAGGTTTGACATCAATTCCTCGCAACATCCCGCCAGATACTCGTATGATTGACCTTCAAAACAACAAAATCAAAGAGGTCAAGGAAAATGATCTCCAAGGACTCACATCACTTTATGTAAGCTTGCTGTTTCCAAGTTTGAAATCTTATTTAGCAATCTAAAATATTTAGATACTTTAAAAATACAAATGGTATTTCCTTCTCCAATAATATAGATAAAAACAGTCTAATGCCTGCATATTTGAGTGGTCCTACACAGTAACAAAGAAATGTCTTTGAATTGCAAGAACTACTTTCTACAACATCCAAAAAGTGTACCATATGCATCTCACTAAAAAGATGCTCAAGATTTTTCAGTCTTTAGCATGCACAGAAACATTCCCTACATCTTAAAGGCTGCAAGGCAAGTGCTCCTTTTTTATCTGCTTAGCTGGAAAATAACAGAAAGAACTTAATCTCATAGGAGAACTGGAATGATATTTTCTAAGGGTATTTTCAAAAGAACAGAACATACAGCTAACACATACAGCACTGAAACCAATGCTACAAATCCAATTGACCCGAACAGAGAAGCAGCGAATTACTGGAAAAGTCAGGGGCTTTACTCCTAATTTTTAACCACGCTCAAGTATGCACGTAGAGACAGGCTTTGAAACAAATATCACTGGCAACTGATAAATCTACATGTTTACAGTACACCATAATCCCTTTTTATAATGAAAGAAAATGAGAGCCTCAGAAGGCTGGAAAGCAGATTAAATGTGCTTTAGAATATTTATTTCTATTGGATGTTACCCTAGATCCAGTATCCAGATCTAGTTCCACCAACAAATACTGACAATATAAAAATTTTCACTSTAAAGAACCAAATCTCTTCCATAATTGATAGTAAATTAATTACATTCTATTCCCCATTAGAAAGACATGAGAAGCACAAACTAACATAAGGAACATTCCTAAGACATTAGGAAGAAATTCATGCCAGTGAGGGTGGGGGGACCCTGGCACAGATTTGCCCAGAGCAGCTGTGGMTGCCCCATCCCTGGCAGTGCCCAAGGCCAGGTTGGACAGGGCTTGAAGCAACCTGGGATAGTRGAAGGTGKCCCTGCCCATGGCAGGGGSTGGAAGTGGATGTTCTTTAAGGTCCCACCAAACCCAAAATCAYTCTGTGATTCTATAAAACAAACCCTTTCAGTCACATTTGGCTTCTGAGCAAGATCTGAAAGCTTACCAGATCTCAAGTGTTTATGAATGAGCTTGTTAATTATTATGGCTTAAGACAGGACAGAAGAAACAGGAACCGTATAAATCCACAGCTGACAACGTAGCATTTCCCATTCCTTTGTCTCGTGTCTGGGTGCAGAATGGCCTTAACCCGCAAGCAAAGGGTAAATGCACAAACTGTGGTTTATATTCTGTGTAAAAGATCTAAGAGTCTCTTATCTCCACCGATTGAGAAAGCCACTGGAATCCATCAGCAATCACCACATTATATGCCACAGTCACCACTTAATTATGTGATAGCTGAAGAGCTGCTTTGCTTTTTCTCCTCAGTTCATTTGCGGCAAGGGTGAACAACATTTTCACTGAGAGCAAAGTTTACTTTGTGCAACTTGGCTCAGCCCTGGAGTCAGCTTAGCAAAGGCACAGATGGCAACTTGGATTAGGAAGGAGCATTTCCTGTTTATTTCCTTGAGCTAACCTCATTTTTTCTGGGAAAAAATAATTCTGGTTTGCTCCACAATTTTTTTCTTCACAATTCCTGAGAGGAGATCACTTGAAGAAGTAAAAAAGGAACAAGCATGAATACTCTAAGTATGGAAATGCAAAGATGTGATTTGATATGCAAAGTAATTTCAGATAACKTGTATTCTGTTATCTGTAGTAACTCATTACAAGTTCCCTGATAACACATAGCAATTAGGAACAAAAAGCTGCTCCCAAAAAGACCAGTGTACAGTACAGAGGAGAGACTAAAATTCACAGGAGCTGGAAAATTATGGTAAAAGAGACAAAAACTCATTTGTCATATACAGACATTAACATCTAAGAGATGCAGATTAAAAACTTCATTTTTATTTTGCACTGTGATGTTGAAATAAAAGATGAAATTCTGAGGTTTTGAGAATGTGTCTGCATCAAGGAACAACAACAACAACAACAATAAAGTATATAACCTATATACAATCCCACAAAATATTTGAATACAAACACTGTTTGGCCAGTTCTCATGATCCACTGGCACCTTGCCAGCTCTACCTTCTGGTTAATGCTGCAGCTTTCAGGTCRTTTTTCACAATCAAATGAAACGCCCAAAGCATATATAATAAAGTGCTAAAGTCTGGTATGACTGAAAAATAAAATATTTTAACTACTTAATTGCTAAATTATATATAAAATCCATGACTTTTAATTCAGAATCGGATAAAGAAAGCTTTCTATTGCTCTTCCCATGTCTTATAGGCACTGGCTTTGAACAACAATAAAATATACAAGATCCATCCCAAAGCCTTTCAACCAACAAAGAGGCTACGACGACTTTATTTGTCCCACAACCAACTGACTGAGATTCCAACAAACCTACCCAGAACTTTGGCAGAGCTCAGAATTCATGCAAATAAGGTTAAGAAAATCCCCAAGGATGTATTTAAAGGAATGAAGTCTCTACATGTTTTAGGTAAGTCCAATTAAGTAGAACAGAAAATGTCTTTACCAAAAATGGAACATATTATACATCATTTCCACTCAAACATTTCCCCTAGGAGCAGTTTCCTCTTGAAGAGATATTCATGCTGTGGGAATACCCTCCACAATTTGGTTTCTATGTGAAGWTGTTACAAAGGTCAAGTTTTGGTAACACTGCAAGCCAAGTAACACAGCTTTAATTCACTGAGAGCTCTGACAGCCACCCCACAGAACAGGCAAAGAKAAACATTAATGAATGCTTAAAACAYCAGAAGACATACATAAATTAAATCAGCTCATTATAACTTAGTCTAACCTACACAAAATCCCTATGCCATAAATGCTTTTCTTTTTCCCCCTTGGACAGAAATGAGTGCCAATCCTCTTAACAATGATGGAATAGAGCCAGGGGCTTTCGAAGGAGTAAATATCTACCACATAAGAATTGCAGAGGCAAAGCTAACTTCAATTCCTAAAGGTAGGTGTGCTTTCCTTTTTATAGTTTACTTATACCAGTATACTCCTTAATAAAATGCTTTAACATCTGAATGATTATGAAATTCATAAACTGTATTTTCATAAACTGTATTTTCACTACCAAACCACCTCCTACCTCATTTTTGTATTTGGACTTGGTACCCAATGCCCCATCCCAGAAGAATTTGTGCACAAACAGCATGAACACAGCACACAGGCTCCCTCTCCCACCTCCTCCCTGTCAGCACATCCACTCCTCTCACAGAATCATCCAGACACTTGTCTCAGAAAAACAATACAAAGAAATTCATAATATGATGTCACTTCACATCTTTTACACATCAGCCTCTCAGAAGTCCTCACAGAGAAAGGATAAACTCACCAATATTCGATCAGGATCATAATGGATGCAGAATTACCACTTCCTTTATAGATTTAAAATCTAACTCCAAAATTTCTAACTTTAATTTTCAATATTTCCAGTCACAGTGTACCTCAACTATGATATTTAATACGGTTTTGATAAATAAAATTTAATTTTAACGCTTAATTAAATTCACTGTAACATACTAAAAAATCAAATCACTTTCATATAAAAAAAACCCCTTGCAATTTGGAGGTAGCAATAAATTAAAACACTAATTTGACAAATCACTGACCTCCACACACAAAAACATAGCATGAAGGAATTCAGTACAACACTCCACCTGCTTATTCTGCAGCTTACTGTGGTATTTAACCAAACACTCATGATTGTCAACAGCTCAAAACTACCAGCTAAGAGAAAAAGGGAGGAAACAAAGCAAAACAYTGTATGCTTTAACACACAGGGAAGCTAAATATTGGCCCTTCTATTTATTTCTGATAATTCAGATGAAGAACTGATTTCTTACTGATCTGTTTCTGTGTGCATATATGTATGTATGTGTGTGTATATAAATACACAAGGATCCCTGTAGAAGAGAACACTAAAAATAAAACCCCAACAACCAAAAACCAACTCACCCCAATCAGTCAGATAAATTTAGGATCAGAAACCATGTGGCGGCCTACGCTAATGCTCCCTAACACAAAAAAAACCCCTAAAACCTTCTACTATCATCATAATACCTCCTTCTATCACTTAGCACAGAAAAACCCAACATAAAATGATTCCAATTTTATCTCTGTAACAGAGAAATCTCCTATAAAGAAACACAGCATGAGGTCCTGTGTGTGGTGTGAGATACATAAACAAACYAAACCCGAACAGGATTTCATGGTGAACTCACTCACCACAAATGGAAATGAAGCTGTTGATGCTTCTCTCCGCAAATGTTATAATGGCACAAAGGTTTAAAAAAACATAGTTAAAGGCACTGAAATTGTGCACTGGACAGGTGGGCAGCCTTCCCTCTGGGTATTGTCACTCAGGCCCTCAGAACGTGAACTGGAACTCAAACTGGAACCAGGAGAGCAGTGGAATCCCTCGGTGTTGGGTGCCCTCTAGACAGGGGCTGCTAAACTCAGCTGAACATCAGCAAACAAATTCACACCGGGGATGACCTTTTCTTGACTCACTGAGAGGATTTTGTGGAAAGATTCATCAACTCCTGGTTTATTCACTGGCAGTCTGGATTTGGAAGTTTTGGAAACACAAGAGAAAGCTTTCTGGCATGGGAAAGAGCTGTCAAATACCAAATTTTGTGTAGAGGACTCCAAAAGCTTTCCTCYCAATCACATCCTAGCAGCTGTGACAGCACAACTGTTACATTAYGTAAGAAGAATTACAGATCTTCAAAAAACAGTCCCACAGGCTTTGACTACAGACTGAGATAATCGCACATAACACAGGATTTACATCTTTGATGAACTAACCAAAAAAAGTACATGAGAGTTGTTATAAAGGAAGCMAGAGAAATTRCTAAATTTTGGTRATTTTTTCCTCTCATAATTAGCATRTGTCCTTCCACATCTTAGTTTTTTTAAAAGTTATTATTTTAAATTCTATTGATGATTTTTGTCATTAACATACTTATATCTAATACCCATTTCTTTGATGAAGACAACCTTCCCAAGATTCTTCGCCTGAGTCTAAACACAAAGGAAAGAAGCTGTTTGGAACATAATAAATGTTCCCACCCAAAAAAAACCCACCCCAAAAAAAMCCAAACAARCAACAAAGAAAAGTTGGCTCATTTTTCTCACATTGTGCATTTGTTTTTCATCAGATTTGCCCTCTAGTCTACTGGAGCTTCACTTAGATGACAATAAGATCACAGGAATTGAACTTGAGGATTTCAACCGTTACAAAGACCTTCAAAGGTAAAATTTGCAGGCAGAATTMTTTTATTTTTTAAAATGTTATGCCCAGCAAGATCTTTTATTTGATATGTCTGTTGTTAATGGGATAAAAGAAAATTAAAAACTGAGTTTTAGTAAGAATTGCTGTAAATAAGACTGAACTTTAAAACCCAAACAAACYCCCACACCCCTACATTAGCCTTGTTACTACATGTTTTGCCAACAGTCTGCAACAGAAAAGTAGAATAAGAACAAAAAATAACCATCATAAGTTCTTACAATCCTTACAAATTTAGTCTTTTAAATACAGCAGTTGGTAAAGGAAATAACTTGATAAATAAGTGCTTTCAAATGCAATCGGGTTTAAAGAAAAATGTACATWCCTCAGAAAGATATCACTGATATAGGACAGAAGGAAGTTCCCTCTGCAAAGCTCAGTTAAGAGYTCTGAAAATAGGGCTGAGCAGCACTGAATTTTGGATTTGGTAACAGAAATTACTAAACTGCCTTTAGGTACCAACTTCAGTTTCTGAAGAAATCAGGAAATAAAGGGAAAAAAAGGGAAAAAAAGGGGATTTTAACATCTGCAGGATGGGCAGAAAGAGCAATTCCAAGTGACCTGTGTCTCCATTCTGAATTACTCTCTGAGCAAAAATCCAAGGAAAATGTAGAAGTAGGAAAGATGGTCGTCTTGCTTACATGAAACTTTTGTATTTTAGAAATAAGCAACTTATTATTTGTCTTTGTAATACTTGCCCTTCTTCAACTATTTATTAGAACAGAATTTTTTTACTGTAACTATAATTTATAGTTACACTATTTGATAAAAGGATTTGATGAARGGTTTATTTCACAAGCAGCTTGATGTTTGTAATTTAAACACTTGCCACTACAGTTACAAAAAGTGCATGCAAAACTGAATAATTACTAATATCAGATAACTGATAACAGCTATAAATTTAATCTCCACTTAAGATTGAAAGTGTGAGCCAATCTTAAGTGGAGATTAAATTTAAAAGTAAAAAATGTTAGAGCAATGGTGATTTTTTTCCTATCAAAGGTAAGATTTCATCATCTTCCCCCAGTTCTTTCCTTCCCCTGTGTATTTCAATCTTTAAAAAAAATTATGCTCTTCAACAGTGTTGTAAATCTCAATCTTTAATTAAATGTTCCTTGGTCTATTTYTAGGCTAGGCCTTGGGAATAACAAAATCAAAGACGTGGAAAAYGGAAGTTTTGCAAACATCCCAAGTATACGTGAAATCCACCTGGAAAAAAATAAGCTGAAGAAGGTTCCTCCCGGATTACCTGAACTGAGATATCTGCAGGTCATACACTGAACTTAACAGACAGCTCTGGGAGTGCTGAGTTGACTTTCCCCTGTCACTGATTAGTCACAAAAGGCATAATTAACTGACACATATTTTGYTGTGACTCTCCTACTAGGGGAGCCTGAAATCATAAATGCTTCTTAAACAAAATTAAACTGCAGGAACACTTCCTAGGGAAACAAAAATGCTACACTCAGAAACTATTTCCAGAAAATGAGAATATAATACTGCATCATAATAATTCTTACTACAAGAGAATATAAAATTGCATTTTAGGACAAAGTTCCCAAAGAATAGAGTCCAACTATTCTGAAAATACACTGATAGAAAATGCCATATGATTTTTCTGTAGGAGATATTGGCAGGAAGAAGACTTTTAAAAAAGATTTAACACAAATTTTAAACTAGTTACTCTCAAGGTCTGCATGCAACTGACCTTGYAGCAAACCTCAGTCACCTAWAMGCCAAGGAATATCTTTCCCATTTCMACACTAACTCTTGTGTTTTGCTGCTCCTGTTGCTGCAGGTGGTCTTCCTTCATTCCAACCACATTGCCAAGCTGGGGGTGAACGATTTCTGTCCAACGGGACGCAGGAAGAAGAAAGCCCTGTACAGTGGCATCAGCCTCTTCAACAACCCTGTCAAGTACTGGGAGGTTCAGCCTTCAACCTTCCGCTGCATTTTAGCCAGGAACAGCGTTCARCTTGGGAATTTCCTCAAGTGAGACCCAAGTCTGTTGTTTCAAAAAGCAACCTGTTCAAATCAATTCTACAATACTTGAAATTTGCAGAAAAATGCCGATTTTACGCTATTTAACCGTTTACAAAGTATTTGCTATTTCAGAGGTAATTAAYTAGGAACAATATGCTAAGTAGGATCCATTGTATTAACTGACAATGTTCAACCTACATTTGAATAACTTAAACAAAAGTCTTTATCTCTTATACAAGGACTCTTAGAAGTGGAACTGGAAACTGTATTTGATGTTTCCTAATATAGATGTTAAAATTCCTTCCTCAAATCACACTGTTTGGACACATTTCTTTCTTTCAAATAAATTCTAAAAAACATGTGGAAGTGAGTTTTCCACATTAAGCACCTTTTTTTCTCTCCCAGAAAGTGCTGTAAGAGAAGTTGCACAACCTAAACTTATCAGACTTCAAGGTCAACTTCTTGTGCCATTTTTGATAATGAGCAAAGATGCAATAAAAAGCTACAATATCRTCAGGTTGTTATCTCTAAGCTAGAACACATTTTTACAATCTTTTAAGTGAGATAAAGGCAAATTTCATATCAAGAACAGACAAACAGCCTTCAAAAGTGTTTGATAATTTTTCCTTGMCACTTTAAGAAGAAAATGTCCTTCAATGTTTTGCTATGGATAGAATTGGATGCAGTCTGAACATTAAAAGTAGCATTCAAGATTTATCATATGCTTCAAGCTTAATAGAATGACTATTAAACTCCCTTTAGGGCAGCACAAACATTTTCTTTTATCTATAACAACTGTAATCGTGTTTTTCACTTTATTCTTTTCCTCTTTCACATTTTGACATCACACGGGTTAAGGATCCCTCCTTAATGAAATACCTTACAATTACCAAAACCAAGCAGCTGGAACTYGCCTGCCCTGCCCTTCCAATGCAGGGCAGCACACAGAATTCTCAATACTGACAGTACTGTATAAAATGGATATTTCAGATATCTATTTAGTGTATATTTGCTATTGGGATTTGAAATAAATTAAATAAACTTACAGAATACCTGCATGCGTGTATTTTATTACATGGTATTACATCATCTCAAAACATTCTGAAATTATAACCAAGCACCTTTGGGACTTGTCTAGACACTTCCTCTAGTGCTCCCTTTTCCAAATATACAGAGTTTACACATCGTTTATCAGTGCTGGTTTGCACTAAGTTAAAAATCCAAGACTTGGAAGCGATTATGGGAAACAGCACGAATTCATAGAAGAAAATACTGCAAAGAAATCAATTAATTCCCAATCTCTCAGCCTTCCCTACCACCTCCCTAAGCATACTACAATATGCAATAAGCATCAAGTCTCATATCTGATTTCTTTCCATCTGCTTGGTCTCCTGGTAGTTAACATTTTGTTAGCACCACCATGCTGCTGAGACACAAAACTATGTGAAGAGAGGAGGCAGAGCAGACCAGGGGAGGCTTTTACTGAAGAACGATTATTGGAAATAGGAATTCTGCAAGACACATCAAAGCAGAATAAAAACAAAAGATTAAACAGAAAACAAAAGCTGAAATCTCCTGTTGACCAAACACCTTTCTATTCTGGGCTTCTGAAGATGTTTCTAAGGAGTGCATTTCAAGCAAATACCAATATTCCCTTAAGAAAAGGCTCCTCCACCTTACAGTACCATAAACAACTCATAACCCCATTCCAGGTTAGTAAATACAATAGATAGGAGAAAAATCATTACATTTCTATGMATCATTAGTTTATAAGCATTCATAAACACTCATGCTATAACAATTACATCATTTCAGCAACAACAACAGAAAAACTGATTCAAATTCTGTAGCTGCAGAGTGTTGKGCACATTATTCTACGTTAATTCACTAGCAGGGGTTACAAGGAAACAGATAATGCAAACAATTCCTTACTTAACAGGGGTTAATGCAATGGAGAACAGCAATGCTGCAATCTGAACCTATGAGTTCTTTACAGGTACTTGTATAAGAGTTTCACCAAATTTTAGATCCACTATTGAAGTCCCATTGTAATGTGAAAGCTTTGTAAAAATGTAGTAAGTGCTAAGAGGTGGAAGACCATAGAATTCCCCAGCCCTCTCACTCTTTGCTTTTGGCCACACACACAGACTGAGAAACTCTTTCTCCAGTCAGCATCCATGGATGCATAGAACATTCACAGAACATTCACAGAAGAAACAGCAGCACTACTTCGGAAGAAACTACCTCTACCTTCACTCTTAATAAATAAACTCCAAAAGATTTTATCATCAACTGCCTAGGTTTGGACCATCCTTAGRGCAAATTCAGCCAGCTTAGAAGTTTTAAAAAAACTTCATCTGTGTTTTAAATTACACTGAGAATTTTGCATTAGGGCAGGGAAGTATCAAATGGTTCATTTTAACCATTTCCCACAGGAGTTATCTTTTTCCCACAGGAGTTATCTTCCTAGATCACACCATCAACTGACAGGATGCCTGTCACTTATGAGAAAAAGATATGTTCAGCAACTCCACTATTTTCAGATATGCCACAGCTGTGGATAATAATAACTCATAATTTCCACCCCTTGCATCTTGGCATACTTTAAGATAACCCCAGGTGGATGTTTCAGTGACACACAAAAACTTTATGACATAAAATGCACATTATGCAGTTTCAGCAAGGATCGCTGAACATGAACAGCAGTGCAATTAAGAGTAGTAATTAAAAGATGATAACACACTGGTGTTCAGTGTTCTTCCCACAGAACAAAGCAGTTCAGTATTGGAAATAGGGACAAAAATTACCAAGAAATCAACTCAGCAATGTCAACCTTTACATTCTCCACAAACGTTATAGGAAAAGGGGAGAAAGAGAGACTTGATATAAATCCTTGTAAGAGTTTTCTCTTATTCCTTATTTGTCTAAGAAAAAGAGTATCTATACCATCTAAGATTTTTTTAAGGGTTTCTCCTGAAAATCTGCGAAGTCCCAACGCGACAGTTAACAAATTTCACCAGAGGATGGCAGTCTGTGGCCACTAATAGGAAAAGTAATTCTAAATAATAAATAACAGACTGTTAGAGCACGGGAAGAGTCCAGTACACGYAGTAACACTGATTAAGCAGAGTGGYCCGTTTGAGTACTAAAGCACTATRTGAGTGCTTCCTAACCCTGCATTCTATGTCCTGCTGTACACCATTAAACTACCCAGGGATCAAATACCCTGATTTTTCCAAATCTCCCTGCCTCCTTGCACAATATCAACCTACTTAATACAATACTTTAAACACAGCAAYACCAAGAATATTGTAGCTTTAATAGGCATAGAACAGCAAACTTAGTAAGACAGAAGAAGTTTAAAGAATACAAGATATGACCTAAATCATTATTTTAACTTGCACCATCAGCTATGGCAAATATATACAACATGAACCAAAACATACCTTCAAWAAAACACATTTTCTTTCCTATCATCGAAGTGCTTTCTCCTGCTGCTAAACTGAGTTAAAGAAGGTGAAGAAGTGTTCATTTTATTTCCTTTTCCCATTATTAATAGTGTCTTCCTGCTCTGCCCAGCATAAAACCTGCAGSAATTCAGCATATCTGACACTATTGCCTAGAAGTGTCAGGAAGGAGAAAAGTACAGATAGACAGGGAAAGAGCACAACTATTTGGATATTGCTGCATGATCTTAAGAACAAAGAGTTGCAAAATCCTAAAAGCACAATGAAGYTTGGGCTGGAYGAGCAGACAGTGAGATGGACTGAAAACTGGTGGGAAAGCAGGGAGTGGAAAGAGGCCACGCAGTGAATTGTAGCTGGAGGTCAGAAACTGCCAGGGTACCCCAGGGGTCAGTGCTGGCTCCAGCCTTGTTCCAGCTCTGTTCCCCATCTTCAGTAGTGATCTGGCTGACAGAGCACATCACCCCAGCAAGTTCACTGATGACACAAAAGTGAAAGTGGTGACTGACAGATGACTCTCTGGGGTTATGCTGCTGGAGAAATGGCCAACAGGAGCCTGGGCAGTTAAGCCAAGCCAAGCCCAAAATCCTGTACCTAGTGAGAAATAACTCCAGTGGTGACTGAGATGGCTGACCTGGAAAGCAGCTTTGCAGSAAAGGGATCTGGGTATCCTGGGCTCAGAGTATCCTGGGCTGCTTGACAGGGGTAAGCACAACCTCTTCATTCCCAGTGTTGCTGTCATTAAGTCRTTCCAAAACCAAAGAAATCACAGAAATTCGTGGATTCCTCTGGATTTGAGTCGTACAAGCCCCAGGCCCTTCCAGCTGCTCTCCAGCTCACGCCACCGCTGTGCTGCCAAGGGCCAGAGGCAGATCTGTCCCAAGGGGTTACTCACAGCTCTGGCCCCTGCTGCCATTCCAAGGAGGATCTGGAACTGCCCCTTCCCCAGCTGAAGGATCTCTCTGGGGCACTCTCCTTTGCCCAGCTGCTGTTTTTCACAAGTTAGTAACAAGTACATAAATAATTCCCTCTATCCTGCACCAAATTCAGTCATGATTGGTAATAAGGATTAAAAGATACCAAGTGAAATAAGTGACAAAAATAAAAGGCTCTTTTCTTTTAAAAAAATCAAGAGGGGAAAGTTGGGCTATTTTAAACACAGTGGAAATTTCMAGAATGTTTAATATGAGTATCCCATCAGGAATTCCTGCACCTGCATTTCCCAAAAGTGAGTAAAATGACTCAAAACAGACCARTCAAAAGATATAAACTAAGATRCGCAAAAATTTAACCCTTCATATCYGTTTGCTAACGGAGCAAAATATTTCAGCTACCCAAATGAGGTGGTGCATAGAAAATCTGATATGAATTCACTAGTATGCAATTTTAGAATAATTTAATGTAATTTCAAAAAGCTTTTACCMATGTCCTAAAAAGCAATTGCTGCTATCTCTTGAAGATATGCATTCCATAGTCATTCAATTGTCAGTTAAAATACAGCACTATTCATCTAGAAAAACTATGGTACAGTACAACAGATGAAATAAATGTTAATATTTTCATTCCATTTTGATCAGAATTTAACAGCAGCATGATAATAAAAGCAATAGTAAACTAAAAATAACGAAATTGTGTTCTGAAGGCTATTTTTTTTCCTCATTCTTTGTGTTTAGAATTTAACATTTTTTCTTGGGCTTGTGTTGGTGCTTCCTTTCCCCTCCTTTCTGGGGAGACTAGAGATATGAGAACAAAGCTGCTAATAGGAAACATATGGAAAAGTTCTGGATTAAATGAAAGTCTGACTCTAATTCCAAATGCCACGTATCACATACCACGGTCTAAATTATCTGCTAAGATAAATGTGAGATTTACCCTCCATACTCAATCAATCATGTGAGATGGAAGACAACATTATGTATGAAATAAACAAAAAGGAAGACTTTGATGATATTTAAGAGACTTCCAAAACTAATCAATATTTTGAAATTGGGATGTTTGTCAAAGCCCATGTCAGCCAATAAAAGATTGGCTCAATGGAACACGCTGCCAACAGACAGCCTTGCTGCAGTTTTTCATATAAAATATGAACATTCCTACTCAAGTGAGCAATGAGCCTCTGGGTTTAACCACGGTGCTGCTGTGGTTGCAGTGGGAACCCCACACAGCCAGGTTTTTCTATGCACGAACACTTTCCTGTCTCAAATCCTCATCCAGGGGAAATGTGAAGACGATGAGATTTCTGGCACAGCAGCACTGTGCGATGCAGTTTTGATGAGAATCTCACACATTTCCACAGGCAGCCAAGTCTTGCCCCAAACTCTCTGTGCAGCAGCAGGGAACTTAACAGGCCTGGATGCACCAGAGTAACCACAAGTACAAAGAGTCCCTGGAGAAGGRATTCACACACCAGGTTCATTCCACGTGTGCTACCCATCACCAACACAAAGGTTTCTATCAGAATCAGGCAGCGACACAGAAATATACAGTCTCTCTTCACAATTGTATTTGCAGAACTATTACAGAATTACAGTCTCTGCTAAGAATGGAAAAAATCTCTAGCTGATAGGTTGCCAAAAGATGGAAAATT